CCCCCCCCCCTGCTCACTGCAATGGTGGGAGCTAGAGCAACCCAGCAGTCTACTGAGCTCCACCCAACTGCCCATCTCCTTGTCTGCTGTGCTGGCTTCACTGTGGCAGCAGGAAGGAGGGTGCCCTGGCCCCTGGGTTTTCCACCTTCTGCCAATGCAGTGAAATGGAGCGAAGACTGCTTGGTCACTCTGGCTCCCATTGTCATGGTGCATGCAGTATGGGATAACCCTTGCCAGGCGCCCCGTAACTCCTGGCTTGCATCGCTCGAGGGAAGAGGCTTTGGACAAGGGAGTGGAGAAGGAGTGAGAAGAGGTGGGATGGGGGCAGAGTAGGACAGGGAAAGGGATGTGATGGCTTGGGGCCTGTGGCAGGGGGAGTTGCCCTGGGTCCCATGCCTGGAATACTAGGGAGGGTTGCCCAAGGCCCTACTCCATCCCCCAAGGGTTGACCCTGACACAGAAACCTCTGCTTCCTTGCTCGCCCACCGTAGAAGCCTGCTGGCCACTTCCTGGAGCAGTGTGGGGCCTGGACAAGCAGGAAGCCTGCCTTAGCAGCAGTCCCACTGTACCATCAGAGATCGCTATTGACTGGGACAGTCTCCAGTCAATCATGATTGATGGTTGGTGACCACTGCACTAGGCCGCCTGCCACTGAGAGATGACCTGGCACATTTTCCACAGGGATCATATGCAAATAACTCATAATTGTTGGAATTTTGGCAACTTAAACCTATTTAATTTTGTTTAAAAAAAATGGACAAACATTCATGTTAGAAAATTAAAGTGAATGGAGTTTAGAGCACATTTGTTTATTATTTAAAAAAAGTTCTTCCTCTGCTTATTACAGGGGCATTGATGGTTACGGAACATCTGTCTGAAGTCTCTATTACACTGTAGTAGATTCCAAGAAGAACTTTTACAAGAAAGTTACTTTTTAATGTTTTACATTGTTACGTAATGTAATGTGTATGTGTGCGTATAATTATGTTTAATATAATTATATGCTATTTAACAGAGTTTTTATTTTAATATTTTTTTTTACTCGGGATTGGATTGTTTTGTTTTGTTTTTTCTAAAGACTGTAAACCACAGAAAAAGTAGCCCCAATTTCACTGTTTATGTCCCTGGCCCACTTCCTCAAACACGAGTCTTGCCAACTTTAGGGAGCACGACTTTGCATTTGTTAGTGCAGCCAACTGCAGCTAAGTGCCATATAATCTTGAGCTGCCACACTCCCTGCTTGATGCAGTTCCAATTATATACAGGGTTTACAGTGGCTCTCAGCACCTCCACTATACTAAGAGCTATATTTTTTGGCTGTTTTCCATTTAACATTCTATTGATCATGGAGAAAACCCAAACTGTCCTTTAGTAACATGCAAATGTAAACAAAATGAGATATTCTATATACCCAAAGTTTTTTAAAATGAGTGTCTAAAATTCAGTTTTTAAATCCACATTTAGGCACCTAAGTATATAGCCTAGTTTTTAAAAAGTACTTGTCACTCAGCAGCCACCATTAATGCCTATGGAAGACTGCTGGGTGCTGAGCACTGTAGAAAATCATACCAATTCTGGAAGTGGCTAAATGTGGATTTAGAAACTGAACTTTAAGTATACATTTATTTAAATGTTGATCTTATATACAAATTAAGAAAAAAGTTCTCTTAATTTGTATGTGGATTTAAAATATTTTATTGCCCCATTTCATGAAACCTCTGCATTTATATATATCCTTAGCACCCTGGTCTCCTCAGAATTGCCAAACTACTGCAACAATGGTTTTATGAATTATTTTTTTAGCTAGTTAGTTAGTCTGTTTGTTTAAATGAGTCGGAGTATAGCTGACCATATCCAGTTCATCATTTTGGCCACTTCCATTCTTGGTAGAGATGTTGATGTCATTGACTTCATGGCAAACAGATAAGTAGCTGTGAGAAAGATGCCTGCCATGGAGAATTCCTGTTTTCCTTTTCTTGTTTATTTTTTTCTACTCTTGTTTCTTTTGGCAATGCAGGATGCTGAGAGGAAGTGGAGTTAGAAGTAAAACTGTGATATACCATAATATAATGTACATAAGAGCTGCATAAGGGCTCTGTTATATTTATCCATAGGGTTAATCCAGACTTACATACCTCCACTGTGTTCCAGCCATTACATTTGTTTACCATTTCTAAAGGCTAATGAGACCTATTTATGGGTTGCAGGAGTTGGTTTTGACAGAGAGGCTAGTATACGCTGCTCTCTTGTTCATTCACAATCTGTACTACAGCGAAGACGAAAGTTGAGAAGGAGGAAAACCATCTCTGGCATCCCCAGAAGAGTGCAACAAGAAATAGGTGTAGTATAAATACAAATCTTCAATAGATAGCATTCTAACTGACTTAAATTGCAGGGATCTGAGGTGGTAGCCTGCCTTCCAAACAGTTTTCCAAGGAAACATTTACGCTTTTATGATTGTGAAGTTTGAAAATGATTGGTTTATTTTTCTTTAATACAGTAAGCAAAGTTATATTACTCAATATGGCTTTGACATACTACAGGCCTTACTGAGTGATATAGATATACATGTTCAACCCTTATTGTTTAAATGTAATCAGTTACTTAATTTTTTCATTTATTTTTGTTATATAACCATAGTTATGTGCATAAAAAGTAACTAGATTCAGTGAAAGTTTTTTCTTGTGCAAGAGATCTTAAGGTAAAGAAGTGACAGATGTTATCTTGCAAGATGATGAGCTATCTCAGTATCAGAACAATTTACATATATAGCCAATTGAATATTTGCATTAGACATCTGTAAATGCTTTTCTGGAAACTTTGTCAAACATTATTCTTACCTGTTTTTACCATTTCTCTTCCCACTCATTCTTTATTACTTAGGATGAAATTGGGAGGCCTAACTCTGATTTCACTTAAATCAGTGTAAATCAAAAGTAATTCAGTGGGAGTCAGCTCCAGTGTAACATGGGTATGAAATCAACATTAGATCCAGGATATTTATTTCTTTAGCATACCTCTACTCCTGAAGTCAGCCAGGAATGTGTTCATATTAGGGAATAAGCAAACAGAGCCCATGAAACAAAGATCCTGTTGTTATACAAATGCTCTACGTGGTAAAGAATCAGAGAAGGGAAATTCATATGTATACAATCAAAATAGATTTGTTTTAAACAAAATGTTTACAAAGTTTTCTCTGAGGCAACACTTCACTAAAACAGCCTTTATTAGTTAAAATACAGTGGCACAAACTAAAAAGTTAATATTTATCTTGTCACAGCAAGATCAGCTCAGCGCAAGATCACATTGCAGGAATAGGAGAACCAAGATCACATTGCAGGAATAGGAGAATTTCCCATCTTACCGGGATAAGGTCTGCCTTATATGCTTTTTATAGTAAAGTTTCATTTGGTACAATTCTCAGCAAGAAAAAGTCTACAACGAAATGTGTCTTGGGTTACTTTGTGGGTCATCATTAGTCAGCAAATGTAAAAATGTATCTCACACAATTTTACATGTATCCTAGATTCTGATGAATCACCAGTAGCGAGAGAACGGAATGTGATTGTGCATGCAAATCCAGACTTCTCCAGTACAATCAACAGGAGATCAGGTACCAGGGACTCTGAGTGCCAGACTGAAGAAATTCTTATTGCTGCTCCATCCAGAAGAAGAATCCGAGCTCAGAGAGGTCAAAGCGTTGTAGCCTCCCTGTCGCATTCAGCCGGCAACATTTTGGTGTTGACAGACAATGGTGACACAATGTTCACTACAGGAGTGAGCAACCGTATCCGATCACGGAGTCTTCCTCGTGAAGGTGCTAGAGCCAGTGAAGCTGATCAAGATGCTGGTGCCAAAACTTCAGTGTATGAAGCAGAACACTTTTTAGCAAGTCAAGAAAGAATTACAAAAAAGGGTAATGATGGCATCAATAACCAGGGTACACAAGAACACCAGCCTATAGGTTTAACTTGTTCTCAGCACCTCCATAGCCCAGAACATAATATAAATGAGAGAGGGAGGTCAAGGTTGTCAAGAATGGCAGATTCTGGAAGCTGTGAGATTTCATCAAACTCTGACACCTTTGGGAGCCCCATTCACTCTATCTCCACAGCAGGAGTCCTTCTCAGCAGTCACATGGACCAGAAAGATGACCATCAGTCCTCCAGTGGGAACTGGAGTGGAAGTAGCTCAACATGTCCCTCACAGACATCAGAAACTATTCCTCCTGCTGCCTCTCCTCCACTGACTGGATCTTCACATTGTGACTCAGAATTGTCACTGAACACTGCTCCTAATGCCAATGAAGATTCTAGTGTCTTTATAACAGAGCAGTACAGTGATCACATAGATAAGGTTCGAGGTCACAGGGCAAGCTCCTTTACTTCCACTGTAGCGGATTTACTTGATGACCCCAATAACAGCAACACAAGCGACAGTGAATGGAATTATCTGCATCATCATCATGATGCTTCCTGTCGTCAGGATTTCAGCCCTGAACGCCCAAAGGATGACAGCCTAGGCTGCCCAAGTTTTACGAGTATGGCCACTTATGATAGCTTTCTAGAAAAAACCCCATCTGACAAAGCAGACACTAGCTCACACTTCTCTGTGGACACGGAAGGATATTATACCTCCATGCACTTTGACTGTGGTCTCAAAGGTAATAAAAGTTATATTTGTAACTATGCAGCTGCAGGTTCTGAGAGTGGCCGGAATGCAGATATTGCTTCCAGTCTCACTGATTGTGCCTGGCAGGATTATGTAAACCACAGGAAGCAGGGAAGACAGAGCATCTCTCTTAAGAAACCAAAGGCAAAGCCAGCCCCACCAAAACGCAGTTCATCTTTAAGGAAGTCTGATGGCAGCACAGATCTTCCTGAGAAGAAAGAACCAAAGATAAACAGTGGGCAGCACATGCCTCACACTTCCAGGGAAATGAAGCTGCCACTCGAGTTTTCAAATACACCTTCCAGAGTGGAAAACTCTAATCTGCCAAGCAAACAGGAACTCTCCTGGATTAATCAGAATGACAGTGGACTAAAGAACATTCCGTTTGACACCACGGATATTCCATCATTTAAAGATGAAGGTGCTGAACAATCTCACTATGCAGATCTCTGGCTTCTAAATGACTTGAAATCTAATGATCCTTATAGGTCTTTATCCAATTCAAGCACTGCTACGGGTACTACAGTCATAGAATGCATAAAGTCACCAGAAAGTTCTGAATCACAAACATCGCAGTCCGGATCAAGAGCCACCACTCCGTCTCTCCCTTCTGTTGATAATGAGTTTAAGCTGGCTTCCCCAGAAAAGTTGGCTGGTTTAGCATCACCCTCTAGCGGTTACTCCAGCCAGTCTGAAACACCAACATCCTCTTTCCCAACTGCTTTCTTCTCTGGGCCTTTATCTCCAGGGGGTAGTAAAAGAAAGCCAAAAGTACCAGAAAGGAAGTCCTCATTACAACAGCCTTCTTCTAAAGATGGCACCGTATCTCTAAACAAAGACCTAGAACTTCCAATTATACCTCCTACTCATCTTGACCTAAGTGCTCTTCATAATGTCTTGAATAAACCATTTGCTCACAGAAACCAGTTGCATGCTTTTAATTACAATAAACAGAACGTGATAGGAGAAGCACTAAACCCTAATCCTCCACCAGGCCTTGCTATTACACCTTCAGTTCTTAAATCAGTTCACCTTAAATCAATTAATAAGCCCGAAGAAGTGAAACAAAAAGACAATAATACAGACTTTCTCTGCATACAAGAAACCTCATTAATGGTGACTGCCATTTCTCCAGACAACATGAGGCCGCTTGTAGCTAAGAAATCAATATCACGTCAGTACTCTACAGAAGATGCCATAATGTCCTATATTGACTTTTCTCCAATGGAGTCGGGCCCTGCTAAACTGCATTCAGAGAAAAGTTCATCCAGTAGTTTACAGAATAATTGTGATCAAGAAACTGTAATCTCAGCAAATGTGGATATTTTAGAAGCAAACACCGTGAAAGACCAAATGTACCCAGTTGGTGAGCCTGTATCAGAGAACACACAAACCTGTAGCACATCTGCAGAAGAGTTTACAGAAGGTTTTGTTGCCCCCACAAGTGATTATGAAATTAAGATAACGTATCATGAAACAGAATGGGAAAAGAGCTTTGATCCTGGGCAGATTAAGGACGAATTACCTGCAATCTATGAACAAAAGTTAGAATCTAAACCTGTGGATGAAAACACATTCCAATCTGATCCACCAGCTGGAGGAGCAGACATTAGTAATCAGCCTAAGCATCACTTTAATATAAGCCACCATAATGACAAAGTGCCTGGGAATATCAGATATGAATCAGAGATATCAACAGTAAATTCACTTAATGAAAAAAGTTCTGAGCAGGAAAATGATGTTGCATCAGGTATTCCAACCAAAAGTGCCTCTGATGACAGCAGGGCAGGGGAGACAAAGGGGAGTGAAGATGATGCTTTACTGAAAGGTCAGTTCTATAATTATTTTTTAAAGTTATAGAATTAGTTGATTATATAGAGATGATTTTTAGTGATTCCATAAAAATATTGATTCTCAGGTTGAGTAACTCTTCTTAATTCCATTGATTTTTAATGATGCTATCCTGATCTATGTCAGCTGAGTATCTGGCTGACTTTATTTTAAACATTCTTAAGAATATATATTTTGCATTGGCCTGTTACTTAATTTCAGTTAAAAGAACTAAAGCTCTTACCAAGAAATAGAAATAAGACAGATGAGTACAATATTTAGACTAGATTTAAAGTGTAAATTATTGTATAGACTAATCTATTATTAATTGAGCTTGTGAATTGCATTAGTAGTCCTACTGTGAAGTGTGGCAAGCATCTGACATTCCTTCTTTTCTTATTTAAGAATCTTCTCCAAGTGATGATTCCATAATTTCACCATTAAGTGAAGATTCTCAGACTGAAGCAGAAGATGCTTTTGTGTCTCCAAACAAACCTCGCACTACAGAGGATCTATTTGCAGTCATTCACAGGTGACCTAGCATTACTATTACTGTAATCTGGCTATGGTATGTCTACACTGCACACTTATTTCGAAATAAAATATTCTGGAATAGTTATTCCGAAATAGCTTATGTCGAAATAACACATCTACACTGCAGGGAAACCTCAAAAATAGTCTGAGGCAGGCTTCCCTAATGTAACAGTGCTATCTTGATTTAGAGTCCCAGGAGGCACTGGGGAGGAATAATTTAGAATGGCCCGAGTGAGGGGCTATTTCGAAATACCAGCAGTGGCGTGTCTACACATGCCTTATTTCAAAATAGCTATTTTGGAATAAGTGTTATTTCTTGTAGAATAAGGTTTACAGATTTTGGAATAAGCCATCCATTATTTCAAAATAATTTTGAAATAATGGAATGGCTGTGTAGATGCTTGCATTGTTATTTCAAAATAATGCTAGTTATCGCGAAATAACGGTGCAGTGTAGATGCATCCTATGTGAATACAGAATACAATCTCCTGCAAAGTGAAAAAAGTAAAAAATGTTTGATGGAGCTGCTGAGAGTAGGGATGTAAAAATGTGGTTAAAAATGTAACCATGTAGCCACTAAAAATCATAATGATTACATGCATTGTGTATAAATAGCTATCTCCCCAGGAACAGGGTCAGCAAGGCCAGCCGGTCTCACTCTCAGGGAGCCAGCGTGTAAACCTGAGTGGGAGGTGAGGGGACCGACCAGGCCTGCCACAGATAGGGGCTGCTCCAGTGTGCCCTGCAGGGCTGGAGCAGCCCTCTGCCCAACATGGGCAGGGTGCTGCTCTAGCGCCTACCTGTTAACCAGTACCGGTAAACCTCACCATTAAGGGTGAGGCTTACCAGGTAACCTTTTATGTCCCTAACTGAGATTATGTAATTATTTTGTTAATTAACCAAAAAGATTGTTAGGTCTGTTTGTCATAACTGTTGGTTTAAGTCATGGTAAGCTGAAGGAGACGACTGTTTATAACAATCAGGATTTTCTATGAAGCAATACCTGTAGATTTGTCAAAAAAAGAGTTCTGAGAAACTGTTCAGCTAGTTCAGAATTGAAGCTGGGGTGTTCATAAAAGCAACAAATACCAATGTTGAAGATCCTGTTCTTTTTCAAACTGTTCTGCCAATTAAGGAGAACTACAGCACCAGATGGGCATTTTCACAAAGTAGCCATTGCTGGGTTAGCAATGCTTTCTAAATCTAAAAACCACAAAGCTGTGTGTGAGGTAAGCTAACTCTCTTCATATCTTGCACAAAATGGCAAAAGTGAGAACACGAAGAGTTAAGGCATCTAACATAGCATACCTTTTACTCCTTCATCTTTACCCCCTAGAACTACGATAAAACACATGCAACCACAGATCTTTGCCCCTGTAGGGATGCCAGCCTACCAACGCCCATCAAGTATTTTGCTATCTGAGGGTACGTCTAGACTACGGGTTTTTTTTTCAAAAGGAGATATACAAATTCGGCACTAATTTGTATATCATCTTCCAATCGCTTTTTCGAAAGCAGGGTTTTTAAAAGTGAAAGTAGTCTGGACACGCTTTTTTGGGGGAAAAAAACCTTTTTTCGAAAAAAAAATGCTCTTCCTAAAAAAAGGAAGTTTATGTGGTTTTTCGAAAAAGGGTTTTTTTTTCTGAAAAAACCCCACATCCAAACTACTTTCACTTTCAAAAAAGTGATCAGAAGATATGCAAATTAGTGCCAGATCTGCATATCTCCTTTTGAAAAGAAAAGTAGTCTAGATGTACCCTCAGGATGGACTTAATCATGTTAAGTTTTGCTTTATTGATATTATTGGGAGTGATGAAGGATTATGTGCAGTGGGAGACTGGTGGCATCCCCCTAATTATGCATTTCCAGACTTTCAGACAGTTAGATTTTCAAAGTGGTATTTGATTTTTGTATAGAAAATATAATCTCATTGGGTGCTAGCTGAGTTCCATTAAAACACACTTTCAAATTTAACTGTTTTTAACAGTTAGTTATGAATTTCCTGTTTATTTAATGAAAGCCAAGAGCTTCAATTGGGTGAGCATATAAAAGCTACAAGAGAGAATAGCAGAGTGCATATGGCCTACCAAAGCAGGATTCCCTTCTTCTAAATATTAGGAAATCCATAGAAGGTGTGTATAACAGTGGGAATTATATAATCCTGGAATATGGTGTAGTGGATGGTGAGACAATGGAGGATTGCACATCATATATGCCTTCCCTAGTTTCCTGCAACACTATCTTTGCCCTTTTTCTTCTCTTCCATTTCATGCACTTTATACTTTTCAGCCCTATTTTATTCCATTTCATCATATTCCATCCCATCAGTGTTCTACCTTTCTTCTCTTTAGCACCACAACTTTGAGACATGATTTCATGCTACCCATCAGTATGCCCCTGTCAAGGCTGTCCCCCACTGTGGCACTCTGAGTGCAGGAGGTGGGGGCCGCAAGAGACCTTGCCTCTATAGGCTTCTGCTTAAAAGTTCCCGAAGGTCACAGATTCCCTGGCCTTGAGAGGTAGCTATCATCTTCTTCTTCTTTAACCCTGGTACTCTGAGTGAAGCATAGGTCAGCCACCTATGCTACCACTACTACGCAAAAAAACCTTTTCTTAAACCCAGGAAGAAGCACTTGGAACTTCTTCCAGAGGGGTATCCCAAGCTTAAAAAGAGATGAAAAAAAAACCACTGCAATCTCTTATAGCTGACCTCTGTTTTAGGCATGCATACACAGACCTACTATTACCCTCCAGGACACAAGAATCAAATCATCACCTTTAAAAAAGGTGATTTTTATTAACAAAACACAAAGATATACTTGATATCATCTTATCATTAAACTAGGGAAATACAACCCAGACGGGGCTACTATAAGGTGGGTGCATAACTGTCTGGATATCTGTTCTCAAAGAGTAGTTATCAATGGTTCACAATCATGCTGGAACAGCATAACAAGTGGGGCTCCACAGGGGTCTGTTTTGGGACCAGTTCTGTTCAGTAGCTTCATCAATGATTTAGATGATGACATATAGAGAGTACGATTATTAAGTTTGCAGATGATACCAAGCTGGGAAGGGTTGCAAGTGCTTTGGAGATAGGGTCAAAATTCAAAATGATCTGGAGAAACTCGAGAAATGGTCTGTGATAACTAGTATGATGTAAGGACAAATGCAAAGTACTCCACTTAGGAAGGAACATTCAGTTTCGCACACACAGAATAGGAAGTGATTGTCTAGGAAGGAGTACTGCCAAAAGGGATTTAGGGGTCATAGTGGACCCACAAGTTAAACATGAGTCAACAGTGTAACACTATTGCAAAAAAAGCAAAAATGATTCTAGGCTGCATTAACAGGAATGTTGTGAGCAAGACATGAGAAGTCATTCTTCCACTCTACTCTGTGCTGATTGGGCCTCAGTTGGGCTGTGTCTACATTGGCACCCTTTTCTGGAAAAGGGTGCCAATGTAGACACAGCCCTCAAGTATTGTGTGCAGTTCTGGGCACCACATTATAAGAAAGATGTGGAGAAATTGGAGAAGCTCCAGAGAAGAGTAACAAAAATGATTAAAGGTCTAGAAAACATGACCTGTAAGGGAAGACTGAAAGAACTGGGCTTGTTTAGTTTAGAAAAGAGAAGACTGAGAGGGGACATAATAGTGGTTTTCCAGTATCTAAAGCGGTGTTACAAAGAGGAGGGAGAAAAATTGTACTCCTTGACTTCTGATAATAGGACAAAAAGCAATGGGCTTAAATTGCAGCAAGGGAGGTTTAGGTTGGACATTAGGAAAAACTTCCTGTCAGGGTGGTTAAACACTGGAATAAATTGCCTAGGGAGGTTGTGGAAGCTCCATCACTGAATATATTAAAGTGCAGGCTGGATAGACATCTATCAGGGATGTTCTTGACAGTGCTTGGTTCTTCCATGTGGGCAGAGGACTGGACTTGATGACCTCTCTAAGTCCCTTCCAGTTCAGTATCTAAAGCGGTGTTACAAAGAGGAGGGAGAAAAATTGTACTCCTTGACTTCTGATAATAGGACAAAAAGCAATGGGCTTAAATTGCAGCAAGGGAGGTTTAGGTTGGACATTAGGAAAAACTTCCTGTCAGGGTGGTTAAACACTGGAATAAATTGCCTAGGGAGGTTGTGGAAGCTCCATCACTGAATATATTAAAGTGCAGGCTGGATAGACATCTATCAGGGATGTTCTTGACAGTGCTTGGTTCTTCCATGTGGGCAGAGGACTGGACTTGATGACCTCTCTAAGTCCCTTCCAGTTCTACTATTCTATGATAAAGCATACTTGGTTGTTAGGTGTTTTAAAGTAATTGAGAAATGAACAATTTAAAAACACAGAGAAATTTCATCCCTAGGATACACCTTAAGTACAATGTGAATGGGGGAGGGGGGAACAAGGACTTGTCAGAGAGAAGATTAACCAAACAACAAAACAAAGAAAATAATCTGATAGCGTCTAAATAGACATTCCATTCCCTGTCTACTCACTGATCCATGCTTCAAGGTCCAGTCCATTTCCATGCCCAGTATTCTTTGTAGGTATGTAGTTCTGCCTGGTTCAGTTTACCTTGTCCCTGTGCCCCCCAACACCTGGCTTAAAACTCACACAAAGAAGAAAAGCAAGCAGGTATTCCTTTCATTTCAAATTTCAACATCTTCCCCCATTGGCTTTCCTGGCTCCCTGCCAACAACTTCTAGCTACTTGAGTTTAACCCTTTGGTTACTGAATACTGGGATGTTCAAAAAAGGCCAGCACTCCTCCTTATCCATCGCAGCTCCAAAGAGCCCTAACCCATTGCACGTCTCTCCCAATTCCTCTTCCCTTTCTCTGTATATCCTCCTAAACTCTTGCACTGTCTCATTTCCCCTCTAACTCAGAAATAGGTTGTCAGAAGAACATCAGTTTATAAATATTGCTTTACATATGATAGGTCAAAAAGACAAGGAATTATTTTCAAAGTAAACTAGCTTTTTCAAACCACCATAATCTTAAAACTTTGATTTTTACCAAACTTTCCAGAAAAAATGTATGTCTGGATGACAACTACATAACAATTTTTGGCTCTTTATTTGGGATCTTTATTCTCCTTCTTTCTATCTGAGCTAATAGTCATTTTTTTGGTTAATATTTGAAAAGGAATTTTAAAGGTTGTTTCATTATAATATGGTATTGTGTTGCTGTTCAACAGTTTGAATATTTTTATGGAATGAATAAGACAATTTACAAATAAAATTACAGCCATTCATTGTTGTTGTTAACATGCATATCTCCTGAACAAAATACTCACAATCATCTCTGCCTTCTGCCTACTGGCTCTGTTCTTATGAATTGCTATGATATTGACACCTAAGAGAAGCCAACATTTCAGAAATAGAATTTTTTTGATAATTAAAATTTTCCATCACAACTAAAGTACAATTGAAGTTTTCTAATATCAGCTACAATGGATTAAAACTAATAGTTTAAACCTAAGACATATATATCAATATTCAGAAGCAGGGACAAATTGTCACTAACTCTTCTGCCACTAGAGTGGATTCGATCTGATGGATCTTGCTAGAGAATGGGAGCCAAAACAATGTCACCTTTTGTTGCATTAGTCAATACTATCCCCAAACTTGTATAAACCATATTATGGATAAACTGTATAGACTGGACCTAGCAGAGTTGAGTGGGACAGGAGCTATTCTCTGTAAATAGTGTCTAATGTACGTACAATTCTTACATGCTGTTCAAAGTTTTTTAATTATTATTTTTAACCTACATTACTTGGTGTGGATTCATCAGTTAATAGGTGCCTACTTCCATGAAGCTGTAAAGAGCTGTAGCAATGCTATGTATTATTCCATGTGAAAACCATACAAACATTTGTGCCTTTGATTTTAACAGATCAAAAAGGAAAGTACTTGGGAGAAAAGATTCGGGGGAGCTTTCTGTAAGAAATAGATTGAGAGCTTCATCTGTGGCTAGCAGTACAGCACCGGCTAGCAGCATGGCACCTTCAAGCAGCACAGCACCTGCCAGCAGCGTGCCACCCGCCAGCAATACAGGAGCCCCAACAAGCAGTCAGAGGTCTCCAGGTCTTATTTACAGGAGTGCCAAAAAGTCCAACACATCTAACGAGGAATTTAAGCTACTGCTCCTTAAAAAGGGCAGTCGATCAGATTCTAGCTATAGGATGTCAGCCACTGAGATACTAAAGAGCCCTATTTTGCCCAAATCTTCCAATGAGCTAATTGTGGATTCACCTCAAAACACTGATGAGACTTCCCAGGCATCAACTACTCCTGAAGCATTATCCCCCTTGTCTCCTTGCTCCCCTAGAGTTAATGCAGATGGTTTTTCCTCCAAGAGTTTTTCTACATCTGCATCTTCAAGGGTAGGGCGCTCCCGGGCACCTCCTGCAGCCAGCAGTAGCCGTTACAGTGTACGCTGTAGGCTGTACAATACACCAATGCAAGCTATCTCAGAAGGAGAAACTGAAAATTCAGATGGCAGCCCTCATGACGATCGGTCTTCTCAGAGTTCAACATAAGCTGCCTAAGCTCGAGAGCCCCACTGTTGACTGTGAAACTTGTAAACTCTGAAATTGCTGGGGTTTTAAAAGGATGTGACTATAACAGGCCAACTCTGTAGCAGTCAAAACAATTGCAGGGCAATAGAAATGCTTACAAGTGTTTGTGTTTATAAAATGCTGGGAAAACAAATGTAGAGCTGTAGCTAACTATTACATTTTCTAAAAAGTAGAAATATATGCTATGACTCTTCTGTTTACCTTTAGCTTCATTTAATGTTCTCTCATTTATGTTGTCCCTATCGATTTCAAAATCATCTAATTTTCTCAGAATTAAAAAGTAACTTTTTTAAGTTGCCCATTTAGAAACAAAACCTCTCACTGTAGTGCTTCTCTAGGGAAAACATGAACTTGTGCTTAAGGATTGGTATTTTTCTACGCTAAAATGAACGGAAACAAAATTTAGAAAAAATTAACAAAACACATGTAAATACCATATTTTTGATAAAAATCTGTAAATAGGATTATCAGAAAAAGTGGACACGTAACAAATAATTTACTGCATTACAACTTTGTTTATAGAAGGCAAAAGTAGTAAAATGTACTAACTGTATTCTGTGAATACCATTTTCATATCAAACATCATATTTACATGTCCACCAATACCACTTTCAGTGTGATCAAAAAGCCTCACATCTGAATTCTAACTGTATGAAAAAACTCAATGATAATTAATGAAATATTAAGGCTAATTAAGAGCCAATTAATTTTAAAATAACCATTTGTCTTTCGAAATTTAGCTCAAAACAAATAAATTGTAAAGTGCAGCTGTGAGTTGCAATGTGGTAATTGGTAGGGATGGAAAGCATGCTTTTAACAGACCAAAATCATTTCTAATGCAAAGCCCCAAGCAGTCACATTTGACAGCATCTCTTAGCCCTTTATTCTGACATGGATTGCATTAGAGAGAATAGATATGAGGAAATAGTACTTATTTTCATATTCTTATTAGGCTATTGGGATACATAAGTCATAACCTGAGAACTATAATCTTTAAACATGATTAGTTTCTGATTCTTAAAAGAAACAAATAAATTATAAGCATGCAACAAGCACCGCTGATTTATCAGTAAATATTTGCAATGAGTTTTCAGTGAAGCTTTCTCTTTGTGCTGATGAGATTCATGCTACCTAAATATTTACAGAAATGACACTGTGAAAAACTGGGAAATAAATGTGTATACGCATTATTTATATTCATTGTTAAATAGGGAATGCTCTGGTTCATTATGCCAGCCACATACAGCTTAGTTTTGTCTGGGTGTATCAGAAATGATTAACAGGGTGGGGGGAATGTGATGGGTTGCGGGAAAGGAGATGAATCAGAGTAAATGCTTTGATAAAAATGAAGGCAGGGAAACAAAAGCTGAATTACTTGAAGTTACTTGAATTTTCTTGTCTTAAAACTGAAAGAAATTGTAGCTGTGAGCTCAAACCACAAGTTGTTTTATACCTTTAATTTAAACAAAATAAAATCAATGTTTAAAATGATAGGCCTGATTCCCTTTTGTTACACCAGTTTTACATCAGTGTAGCATGGCTTAAGCCAAGTAGAGAATCAGGCCCTATTTGTCCAAAATTTAAGCAACTGGTATTGCTTACACTAGAATATGCTTCTGAACATGGTACGGTTTAATGCAGAGTACAGCTTTTAGGAAGGAATGTGATTTGCAGTAGGACACAGTGAGTAGGATGACAGAAAGAATGGAGTTTGGTACTAAATAAATCAATCAAAAGCTGGCTTCAAGCATAAGTAAACAATGTTAGGGAAGTGGAATATGTGAAACTAGTTTCATTGGCTTAGGTTTACTTATACAAGTTGGACCTCTCTGGTCCAGCTCCCCCAGACCTGAGGGCTCCTGAACCACAGAGTATACCCAACCAGGAGAGGTCAGTGTTCCCCTGCTGGCTGCCCTAATCTCAGGCTCCTTTCCTTGGAGCTCCCAAGGCTGGGCTCCCACCCCACTGCCCACAGGCTGCTGCCAGAGTTCCCCAGAATTCTGGCTGGGACCGCCTGACTGCTACTGGCCCCACTGCCACTGAGGATTCCCTGGACTCCACAGCCAAGGCTCCCCCACCACCACCTAGCCCCGCTCCCACCGGAGGTTCCCTTGCTGGACCATCCAGCCACCCCAGCCCTGCTGTTACTGGAGATTCCCTAGATTCCCTGGCCGGGGCTCCTGGGCCACCTGGCCCCGCTGCCACTGGGGCCACCCACCTACCAGTCCTGCTTCTGCCAGGGGTTCCCTGGGGTTCCGTGGCCTGGGAGCACCTGGCCGCCACCTGGCCCTGCTGCCGCTGGGGGTTCCCTAGCCTGGCTGGAGCTCTGCTGCCTGGCCCAGCCACTGCGCGTTCTCACAGCTAGCTCCTGACCTGCAGATCTCCTTGGTCCAGCAACTTCTGTGGCTCTGCCAGACCACAGCTGTTGCCAGACAAGAGGATTTGGGAGGCTCATCCTGTACAATGCATCAGGCAGAGGTTTTTTTTTTTAATAAGGTAAATCGTGTTTTAAATAGAAAAGTTCTATTTAAAATTGGAATGATTGAATAAACTAGAATGACAACAAAAATAGAATGTTATTTCCCACTAGAACATGTCCTATTTTATTTAGTGTACACCACAAAAAATATAATTCAGAGTTTCTTACCACCCTTCTATGCAGTGAGATAGCATACAGTACGTGGGTTATGGTCAGTGTGTGCATGTGGGTATGTGTGTTGCGGAGGCGAGAATTAAATGAGCAAAATGGTTTAAAACATTAGGAAAACCTGGAGGTGTTTAATGAAATAAGTAGGTTAAGGTTTTGGAAATAAGCCTCATTGCTTGTGTTAACAGACTAGTTATGAAAACCCGAGTGTAAAGCAGATGAAATGTATGAATTAGTAGGTTTTTAACCAGGACATGTTCAACATCTCAAAATACTTTCTTTGAAAAACATGATTAAATGAAGTCGATGAATCAAACAGAACAATCTTATTCAGTCATCTTAGGTCATTTACCTTAAAATATATATTAGCAGCCCTTTTATAATATCCTTAGAGATGATATATGTGCTTTAAAAAGTCATTCTAAAATTTATATGGAAAACAGCTGAGTTGACTTTAATAAGTTGATATCACTTATTAACAAACTAAGCATTTAATTTAATAGTGATATCATATATATATAGATATAGAATAAAGATAAATTATGAGGCAGTAATATACCCTCTGTATGTAATGCTCACAGAACTATCACATCAAATATAGTTTTACTTATTTTGTTTAATCTAAAATCTATGACAGAGTTTTTCTATTTTCTATTTAACAGATTTAAACCCAAATGAAGCTGGATTGTAAATCCACTACGAGAAAAATAATTCACAATCACAAGTGTGGGAGCAGAAAAAAAATGAAAAGTAACTCCTTTAGTGGGGTATATCTCTTAAATACTCAAGACAAGCTTTAGAACAAAAATAACATATCTTCTAACAGGGTACAATGCTACACTAGGTGTGAACTATCATTCCAATCTATAGTTCTGTTTGCACTGATGTTATGGAAATGGTTTTGGGGAATTATGCAGCTGTTTGTGTCTGAACAATAACTATTTTTTCTTTTTTTGTTTTGTGGAAGCATAGAGGACATGGAATAGTTGTAGCAAAGAAAGCAAATGTTTGCTTTTGCCAAAGGTCAGTGATTGAGTGCATTTGCTGCAATGGTGGCAGATTTAGAGAAATACTGTAGGTTATGACTTAAAAACTTAAAAAAATTAAGAAGGTTACAGTGTAACTATTTTGGTACTAGCACCAGTTCATGCTGGCAGAAAAGACAATGGTTTATGGACTTGCATCCATTTTGTATTTTTGTAATATTTGTAAATATGAACTTTTTAAATTGTTGCAAAGATGGTTTCTTTTGTAAAAATGTTTTCAAAGTTTACATTAAATCCAAGCCTTTGTATATTTTAGAGCTGTGCAACACTTTAAGTCTTGTATTTATTTTTAGTAAAATCAGTGAGTTTCATTGTGAACCCCTCTCAAAAATGTGCCCAAAAAGTTTGATTACCTAGAAAGTGTGTATAGAAACTGCAAATAAACGTGACTGCAATTAAACCACACATTCTCTTTATTGTACTGCAATGAAATGCTGTTTGTGATCAATTGCCTGCAAATGTAGCCGTTTAAAAAGATAAGTTACTAAGTACAATACACGTTTCATACAGTCTATTATTTTTTCTCCTTGAATTTTAATTTTTAGTTCCTAGAGGACAAAATCCTATCATCCTGATCCAGACAAAACTGCCATTGACTTTAAGAGGGTTTTTAAAGGGTTCAGAGAGGTAGCCGTGTTAGTCTGTTTCAGCAAAATCAACAAGGAGTCTGTGGCACTTCAAAGACTAATGAATTTATTAGGATATTTGAGCATAAACTGTGAGCTACAACTCACTTCCTCAAATGCTGAAAAGAAAAAAAGAAAAGACAAAAGAAAAATGATACAGAGATGGGACTGTGACATCAGTACTAATTATATTAGAATGGATGTGGCTCATCTCCAACAGCGGTGAGAAGGCCCGAGTACCTGAATGGGAAATTACCTTCTGTAATGTGAAAACCACTCCAGGGCTATGTCTAGACTGGCATGATTTTCCGCAAATGCTTTTAATGGAAAAGTTTTTCCGTTAAAAGCATTTGCGGAAAAGAGCGTCTAGATTGGCATGGACGCTTTGGCGCAAAAGCACTTTTTGCAGAAAAGCGTCCATACCAATCTAGACGTGGTTTTGCACAAGAAAGCCCCGATTGCCATTTTCGCCATCGGGGCTTTTTTGCGCATAACAGTTTTTAGCTGTCTAAACTGGCCCTCTTGCGCAAAAGCATTTGTGCAAGAGGGCTTTTTCCCGAGCGGGAGCATCATAATATTTCTGCAAGAATACTGACAATTTTGCATTAGATCGTCAGTGTTCTTGTGCAAATTCAGGCAGCCAGTGTAAACAGCTGGCAAGTTTTTCCGCTGCTTTTGCGGAAAAACTTGCCAGTCTAGACGCAGCTCATGTGTTTTAGACCTTGGTTCAGGGTGTCAAATTTGCATATGAATTCCAGCTCAGCAGTTCTCGGTCTGTTTTTGAAGTTTCTCTGTCTAAGAATGGCAACTTGAAAGTCCAAAATTGTGTGCCTAGGCAGGTTAAAGTGCTCATCCACTGGCTTTTGGATGTTGCCAATCTTAATGTCTGATTTGTTTGCATTTATTCTTTTGCAGTTTGTCTGATGTACAGGCAGTCCTCGAGTTATGTGGCTCCGACTTACGTCGGATCCCTACATACGAACGGGGCTTTTCTCGCCGCGGAGGACGCGGGCGGCGGGACAGCGGTGCGTCTGGGCGGTCCCGCCGCCCGCGTCCTCCAGGGCAAGAAAAGCCCGGTTCGTAAGTACGGATCCGACATAAGTCGGATCCGTGTAACCTGGGGACTGCCTGTATTCTAATTTCAACTTCCGGCCACTGGATCATGTTTATACCATTCTGTTAGAGATGGTCTAGACAGTATTTGGTCCTGCCATGAGGGCAGGGAACTGGACTCGATGACCTCTCAAGGTCCCTTCCAGCCCTATGATTCTATGTCTACAGTGCACTGCAAGCTCAAAATAAGCTATGTAATTTGCACTACGCAAATTGTGTAGATTATTTTGAGTTTATTTAGAAATAAAGTGCTATTTTGAGACATTCCTTAACCCTCATGGAATAAGGGTTACCGGGATGCCGAAATAGTGTCCACTTATTTCGGAATAGCGGACACATTCAGAAGACACAGGGTAGCTATTTTGGGATACCTCTGGAGGGGCATTGTTGACATATGATGGCATATATTGCATTAGTAGATGTGCACGTGAATAAGCCTTTGATGGTATAGCTGATGTGGTTAGATCCTGTGATGGTGTCACTAGGGTAGATGTGTGGACAGAATTGGCAATGGGGTTTGTTGCAGGGATTGGTACCTGTGTTGCAGGCTTTGGTTCCAGTATTTCTGTTGTGGAATGTGACACTAGTGGGGAGTATCTGCCTCAGGTTCGGGTGCTGTCTATAAGCAAGGGCTGGCGTGCCTCCCAAGATCTGAGAGTGAGGGATCATCATCTATGATTGGTTTCATGTAGATCCTTGATGAAGTGGAGGGAGGTTTTAGCTGGGGGCTGTAAGTTGACTAGAGGTTTTCTGTTGCTTTCTTTGTTGGGTCTGTCCTGTAGTAGGTGACTTCTTGGTACCCACCTGGCTTTATCAATCTGTTTCTTCACTTCTCCAGGTGAATATTGTAGTTTTAAGAAGGCTCGATTGAGATCTTGCAAATGTTTGTCTGAGGGACTGAGGCAAATGCGGTATACAGAGTGCTGGATTTGCCTTAGTTCACTGCTTGGGGATGGAGGAGGGAAACAAAAAAATGATGGCAAGATTGCTTGTTTGGAAGACCTAAAACAAAATTGCAGTTGCAATGAAAATTCAAACTCGGGACTAAATATAATTCCGAAATGCAAGTGGTAGTCAACCAGCAGAATATTTAAAATAAAATTCAAAGCATAAATTTTGCTGGCATTTAAATGCAGTGATTATGGTGGAGGAAGTTGCAATCAGACCTTCTTGAGACTCATAAGGTGGAGAGGACAAAGTCCATCCCACTCGATTTAATGCAATGACAGTCCTTGCATTTTAAAAACTATATATATATATATATATATATATATTTTCGTGGATGAAATGGTGGAAATGATCAACCTTTCTGAACTGTGTCAAGAGAATAATGTTTAGTCTAAATTTATGGATGGTTTTGTGATACTCTGCATGGATAAGTAAAATAAAAAGATGCATATGGCAGAAGTATTGAAATATAGAATACAATCTAATAATGATACCTACAACATATGGAAAAAATGAGGGAATTCAGCCAGTTTATTTAAAATTCTAGTCATCTGAATGAAAATTTCCCTTACAAATGTGGTCTTGAAGTAGTATCCAAGTAAGATTGAACTTACAAAACATTTGTTTTATTCAGCTGGTGAACCAATTTGAAATATTAGTGAAGTTTCCTTATTTTTAGATATTAAGAAATAAAATGACAACTGTTGGGGTGACAGATCTTTTTATAGGAGAACTAAATAAGGAATAAACTAAAAAAAATGGTGCAGTAGCATGGCCTGTGCCCACGAAAGCTCACAATACCATCTACATGTTTTGTTAGTCTATAAAGTGCTACCAGACTATTTGTTATTTTTTAAAGTTCATCCTGTACAGACTAACTCAGCTACCCCCTGAAACTTCTAAATAAGGAATGACCAACTAACACTCCACTGGTTCTTCTACTAGTGCTGCTATTCCATTTTCTAATTCAGTGGTTTCTAAGGTAAGTCCAGAAACTAGCCCTGCTAGCTTACTACTGCACCCACACCACTGACTTCCTGAGGCAAGAATAGTTTCTGGGGTGATTCCTCAAGTTTAGGAAAGGGAAGAAGAAAGGAGGGGGAAGGATTTTCTCCTTTTATAACTGAAAAAGAGCTGCAGTAACTTCACACCCTGAACAAATGGTAAATTATTCAGCTGCAGGTGGGGGGTCGCTCCTGCCAGGCTGGGCACTGGTTAACTGGTTACCTCAGTAAGCATGCTGGTAAGGCAATGCTTAAGGGGTAATTGTTTAACTGATTTACCCTATACATCCCTAGTTGGAAGATGCTAAATTAAAATACACTTTTTAACATTTGTAATTTAAAAAAATACTTTTGTGCGAGCAAAGAAGCCTCGCTTTCTATTAATGCTCTTCCAATACGTTGATTTTATTCTGAACAGGGGAATATTAGACTGCTCACCTGTGTTATCAAATTATATAAGAAGCAGTAAGTGTGAGTTATGAGAATCGGAACTAAACTTCTAGTGAGAAAAAGAATTAGGCAGATAGTATAGTTTTGCCAGCTTATTATGGAACAGACAACATATAAGGAATGTTAGGGGTGATGCTGATGAGCTTTTTAAATGGTCCCTTAAGGACTAATTATGGGGCCTATGACCATTTGGTAATCTTGGAACCTCAAACTGAATCCTTTATCCCTTTCCTCTGTCTCTTTTCTCCTCTCTTTGAATTAAAAAAAAAATGTAACTTAAGTGTGCGCTATCGGGAACTGAGCCAAATCCCACCAAAATCAGAGAGATGGATTAGGCCTTACAAGCTAATCTAGTGTAGATGCTGATTCCTACTGGCTCATCCTACTAAAACACTGCTATTCTATGATGTGTATTTCACTCCACAAAACAGCTGATTGAATTATCAAAATATCTGGTAATGTAAATATAGCATATGGCGTAATTTCTCATATTTTCCTTATCTGCAAGCACAATACTGTGTCTAAGTATTCATTACATTGTTTAGGCTTTGAAGCCCAAAGTATAGTTGTAGTCAGTACAGAACCTACTTTATTGTAATTTGAAATACACACAGCAATACCTGCACCAGCCCAAAAATAAAGAGTACCAAACTCTGGAATTTGAGCAAGAAATTTTAGAACCAGGTATAGTGGATAAATCCTATTTGATTTGTGTCCAACAACGGTTTGATAAGGGCCAACTAATTTAGTATAGGAAAAGTCTTGTGAAAGATCTGATCCAACGGCACAAATGCTTTGTAGATAGGGATTTTTCAACATTTTTGTGACAGTGACTCACCTTTCACATACATTACCTATTTGCATAATCCCTTCATTACAAGGCCCCTAATAATTCCCACCTAACTTCATCCCACTCATCTCCCTCGCCTGCATACTTTTCCCCTTCAAACCTTCCCCTCTTTCTCCTCCACAATTTTTGTGAAGATAATTAGCCATTGCAACAACTTACTGAGGGATATAGTGGCTTCTCTGTCACTTATGGTATGTCTACACTGCATTCCTCTTTCAAGAAAGGAATGCAAATGCAGAGGAATTAAATTGCAAATGAAGCACAGATTTGAATTTCCCACACTTCATTTGCATAATTGCATCCTGGCACTATTTCGAAATACTCTATTTTGAAAAAAAAACCCGCTGTCTAGATGTGGTTATTTTGAAAGAAAATCCTTCTTTCGAAATTACCCTTAAACCTCATTTTA